CAGCTCAAGTCATTTCCCTGGTCTTGGTCCTAAGTTTCTTTTCTCTCTCACGCTTACCTCAGGCCGACTGTTTTAAGGGGTCTTTCCTTGTTACCAGCTGAGCTTATCTTTCGGTTTCCTTTATTTTCTCCTGCCTGCCAGTGGCTAACTCTCTTTTCCCTCAGGGAGCCTAATGAGGGTTTTAATATAATCTGAAAATAAAGCACTGAAGTGAAGTTGGTGAAAATTTGTTCCTGGTCTAATCTGGCACCCTTCCAACCTGAGTATTGTAAGGGAAGGAAATTTACAAGATTAAATAGGAAATGAAACAGCTTGAATTTCAAACTAAATCGGGTTTTCAGAGCTATCCTTAAACTGAACAGTCAAAACTTTCACAAATAAGTGTTATTTCTCCGCGCGCCCCCCCCCCCTTGATGGGGATAGATTTTAATGGGAAAATTATAACTCAAATTAAATAAAACACATTCCCATTTCCCTGTTGTATATCTCAAGCACTTGAAATTGTTGTGTTCTCTTACTGAAGTCATACGGAAGGAATGTAGTTAGTGAGGGTTCTAATGTCGTTATGTTTAAAACACACGTGGACTCCGTACCCCCAGCACCTTGTTTCCGTCCCGACATTCCGTGAGCACGCTTGAGGGGGAAAGCGATACGATTCCGAGGACCTGAGGCGGTTTGACTCTCTTTCATTACATGGAGGTGCATGGGGCTCCGCCACCCTGGGATGCCCCTAGCACGCCCAGTACGGGGCCTCCGTCGCCACAACAGGACACAGACAAAGGTGGCCGCAGAGGGGATGCCAGTGTGGCCCTTTCTGTCTTATTTCACCAAAAGAGGATGCCGGCTTGTGACCTTCACGTTTTTCCCACCAAACACACCGCTGATGCTGGCTTCCAGGTGTCTTGGTTGTACAGGGAAGGGCAAGGCGCCTTCAGGGCTCATCTCCGCGGGAGCACATCTGATTCTGTCTCATTTTACTGTGACATTCGTACTGCGTCCCCCCCAACCCGGGCAGATGTCCTTAGCCGATTGCAGGTGGTTGGTTGCTCTCCAGGGTCCCTCACACTCCCTCCACAGGCAGACAGTGACCCTGTTCTGTCATGGCCACGGGTGTTTTCAGCAGAATGGGTGCCCTATAGCTTGCGCCACGCCACCATTCCTCACGCATTCTGTGGCCTGTCTGTCCTCCCCGCATTTTCATCAGCCACGTTAACATGGCACAGCTTCCCGTGGATTATCGTTTCAGTGCTTAACAAAAAATATCGCCACCTCAGTTCCATAATCCCATCGTCATTGGAAACAGGGCCGAAGATGTTTTCATTTATTTTGTTTGCTTCTAAAATACAAAGCTGAATGTTCAAGTCAGAAGTAGTGTTTTATTTTGAACATACTTTGGATTATTAACTTGACTTAGCCGTGATCTAGTACACGTTTCATGTTTTTCTTATTTTTTATTATAAGAGAAAGTTAGATTTCAAAGGAATAGATTTTCAAGAAGTTTCTTTTACAAAATCATCTTTTGGTTCCCTCGTGATGCAGGGCCATTTTTAATACAACTTTTGGGACGGAAAAGAGAAAAATCATTAATTGGCCGCAAGTGTGTATTGATTCCTTTTAGAGAAATTGAAATAAGCTCTTTGTAGGTGTCTAATCCCAGAAACCATCGGTCTCCAGAACTCTCCTTTCACCCAAGTGTTTTCTGATTATGTGTTAACTAATTAACTATAATTTAGTGATTTAAAGAACATAAAGTAAGAGTATGATTAAGCACCCTTCATTTTACACTCTCTTTAAGAAGTGATTGGGGAGAAGTACCTACTGCCAGCCCTTCTGGCTCCAAACAGAACCGCCATCACCTGCTTCTCTCCCTCAGCAGGACACGACCCACGCATGGGGGCTGGAAGATTCAGTTCCTTTTTAAATAATCTGCCTCCTTGTTACTCGTTGATGATTTTGTATGAAGTGACTACCCACTGTCCTCACACTTCCTGAAAGCCACCCGTGTCCCTGAACCCATGCTTGGGTGTCAGACGCTTGATTTCCTTGACACGAGCTGGTGGCCTTCTTTGCTTGTTGGTTCTTAGTATTTATAAACACATAAAGGGAAAGAAAACCACATTTAATTTCAGAAATCCTCTTAAGTCTCACCATTTCTGTCTTTTCTGTTCTCAAGGAGGAAAACAGGTCTAGGAGTATCTGTTAAACCCCGGGAGTGGTGATGGAAGCATCCTAGGCTAACGATTCCATGGCCGTTTTGGAGATGTCTTTCTGCATTGTGTTCCAGCGGGCTCTTCCATTGGCAGGATAATTCAGATTATTCTGTACTAACTGGCACATCAGCCTCAGAGCTAGGAAAGGCATTTGTTCATTGCTGTTCTATATTCTGAGCCTGAGTTGCAAAGGAAGTGATATATAAATTCTTCGTAGCGTTTTTCCCCTCTGTTCTTCAGAACACACGAGAACCTGACTTGTGGGCCCTTAGCATGAGATGGGCGCACAGTATGGCAGATAGATGACAGATGAGCCTCTTCAACATCCATATGCCTTTGTGGGAGCCTGTGTGAGTGATGCGCTGAGCCCTTCCCTCCGGCGAAAAGTGATCGCAAGTCCCTTGCTGCTAATCTATCCAACGTACCTGCTTGAGAGCATTGTGGGGGGATTGTCAGCCCACAAGCCCAGGTTGGTGCTCTTCTCCAGACCCACTGGGCCGTAAATACTTAGCTCCGTAGGAAATGCTTAGCTCTAGAAGGAAAAGTTAAGGAGCCCTGGTGGCGCAATGGTTAAGCACTCGGCTGCTAACTAAAAGGTTGGTGGTTCGAACCCACCAGCAACTCCAT